AATAACTTTAAAACTGGTCAAGTACAGCTATTTAGTGCTTAAAAACAGACATCCTTTTGGTGACATAATTTCCCTTGGGGGAAAATGTCCCGTCCCACACAGGAATGTTAACTTTCCCGTGATCAGTACTGTACTCCAGTAATGGCTAATAGCATTTTCCAATTTGTTTATCTTTTTGCTTATAGATGCTGCTGTCACCTCAACTTCCACCACTAGTGAAACAAATGGTAATATTACCTGTTATATTCATGCAGTTTCCCCTATCAAACGGGCTAGCTCATCCAAAAAATAATATTTCAATTGCATGCTCCAAACAAAGAAAAAGTCATGCAGAGCAGTATGTTTCTCCCCTGAGAAGCAATCAGAACTGAAAACTTTTGAGAAAGCCAGAAGGCCCAGTAAGGATTCAGAACTACAAGAGTAAACCAGGTCTGAATGGGAAAGAAGAGATCATTATTCAAAAGTTCACAATGTTTGCCGCATTGGACAATGTCAATTTAATTTTAAGCATTATGGATTGCTTACGGTGTACTGGTTCCAAACATCTTATCCCAAACATCTCATCCCTTGAGAAGGTTGCTTTGGAGCAAATATCTGTAAAAACGCATGTTCGTCAGGTTTCCACTGTAAAATGAGTCCAGACACAGAATCAGGGAACTCTAAAAAAGCAGGAAGTTCTTCTGGCAGACCCAATAAATTGGAAGAAACTTGTCCTTTGGCAAAACAATGTAAATTGTTTAGAAGACACGATGGTCGGTTGCTATGCGTTTTGCTCCCGGAAGTGCGGGCTTCGTTTTTTCCAGCGGTGTTGGTGTGAAGGCGAAATGGCGTCATGTTATTTTACGATCCGAAAGGTCATGTATTTGGCCGGCTTGAAATTTCTTACTGTTAGAACTTTTTTGGGGTATATTTTAACTGGTTTATATACTTCAATATTTAAAAGGAACTATTGTGATAATTTTATTTAGCTGTCAAATAACAATTGGATCTATTACTTAGGGACTGCCGTCGAATAGCTCTAGACGATATATCAAATTCGCCTCCTGTATAATAGTTTATCTTTCATATTACGGAACGCAAACCAGTGTACAAACTGTTCCTCTTTTCGCCTAAATTCGTGTTTCTTCAGCAGTATGTGTAGGTAATTTGGGGAAAATTATCTGATGCTACTTAGTACTAATACAGTGTATATATCTATTTAAAGTAATATACCGACTGAGAAACGTATTGACTCAGTCTGACTGTTTTGGTTGGCGACAAGAAATCTAGCTATACTATAGTTCTGTTCACGCAAGAATTTGTTTGATGAATATGTTCTATTATAAAATGCTTTCATTTTATATTTGTGTATGATGTATTTTGAGATATATAAACACATACTTCCATTGTATAGATGACAATATATATAGTAGATTTAGCTACAGTGCACTCGTATATGCCTGCCAAATTACTACAGTTTATAATCGGCTGCGCAACTGATCCGTAGCGACATAAAATAATAGTATTACAGTATACCAGTGATTTAAATTCCTTAAGATACGCAGCTTTTCCAGAAACAGATTTCATGTCTTTGCGTACACTTAATTTTATCATTTAGTAACAATTTCAAGCACTTTTCATGATGGTTTTCGCGCGAGGATCATATAGTACGTCTGCTACTCTCACGACTCAGATTACCAAGGCATGTTGTCTTTATATGACCTTTAACGAGAAGACGGCTCCCCGATCGTAGCCTAAATAAACGCATGTGTAACTGATTTCTTTTGTAAACTATAACTAAGTATTCTGTAGTTATATTAATGTAAATAAAACTTGTGTAAGCCACACAATAAGCTTTTATCGAAGTAAAGAAACCAACTAACTCAAGGCACGCAGTATGAGGTGAAGTAAACAAATATGAGAATACAAGAATACATGCAGATAAATCAGTAGTTTCAGCTATCAGTCTCATTTTATGGCCCTTGATGTATCGTGTATACACCCGGCTTTCGTATTTTACAATATCTAGGCTATGAACACCAGATAATTCTACCCCTGAAATGGGCTGGTAAGTGTTGGCTACTATTAGTTAATAGGTTTATATAATCAGACTGCCTTTTAAACAAAAACCTACAACTTGTGACCTATGTTGTAATTTTAATATTTCGATATCACATATTATATTAAACTGACAATCAACTTATAAATATGCAGCCGTTCTACAGCTTATACTATTTAGTAACTTAATTAAGCTGGGTTCCAATGCCAAGCTCAATTAACCTCAGTTTATTCTTAGTACAGTATGAACCTCGCGTGACTTGCGTGACAGATCTCCTTGGCCTTCTCTGAGCTTAAAGGATGGAGATTTTTTTCAAAAATTATCTGCTAGTGGTCTCTGTTTGTTGGATTTTGCTGGATTTCCTTTATTTCCATCACACGTTTGACTTTTACAGCAATAATCTATCGAGTTAGAAAGACAAGACAGCAGGTGGTGAAGCAACAATATGGCGAGTCACGAATACGCTAATAATGCAAATGAGTTTGCCGAAGGATATTTTCTCCTCACCTTTCTTCGTTACTGCTAACCATTAGAAGTTCTTCAATAAATGATATTCTTCAACTTTGATTTGGGAGGTGTCTCCAGATTTACGTTTTAGCAAAAATATTTGAAAAATAAAACGAAAAATGCGGAATTTTCAGCTATTTTCGCTTATAATTCTGGCAATGCTATAAATCCAGGGGGGTTTTCAAAGGGAGATTGTAGGGCACACACGTGTGGTGCTGTGGGACCCCTAGATGGTAGAATTTGTCCTTGTGGGAGGGATATCCTTCGACTGGAATGCGAAAATACATGCCCATAATAACACCATAATTTACCGCTTTGCATTTGTCCTTTGACTAGTTTACGCTGCGATATCTTTAAACGGTTCAAGTATGTACTAATTGGGCAAGTATTGTTTTAAAAATGTTTGAAAGTAAACGCAAACGAGAGCGCTAAAGACGCGGTATTTTAACCGCGCCTTAAATCACAGCTAGCAGACCGGAAACTAACAACAATCGCAAATTGACTCCGGGAGCAAACTGCATAGCAACCGACCATCGTGTGGCCATCAACTTAGAAGTATGACACCTTTTTACCTGTAAAAGGTGCAACAAATATCTTTGAATGCCACAGTAGGAATAGGCATGTACAACAAACCCTACCTCGACCGTACGTTTTTCATGAGGAAAAAAGGGTTGTTGAGTTTCTACATACAAGCACTTTTAAAGTGGGAAAAATAGGGTACCATTACATACCTATAAATGGCTTACTTTCAGGTATTTTCTATTTTTCTTCTTTGCAGAGTACAGTGCTCTGTTACCAAATTTTAATGCATAGTGAATGCGCACCCTAACAAAGAGTCTCAACAAATACAAGCTTGGAAAACTTGGACATCCTAACAATGAAAACGTTGGAAGTTTTGAAAGTAAGCGCTTCCCAATCTCTAACTTACTTACATTGTTTTCAAATTCTATAACAAATTTTGCTTCCAAGCCCAGAACATGGTCTAAAAATGTATCTGATGGTGAAATAAGTCCACCAAAAGGTTTTTCTTTCGTTTCTTCGTATGCCTTGAATAAGCATAGCAATTGTGTGCTGCTGTTTAGATCTTGCTTGGTCAGTGCATTCTGACATATATCACAGAAATGCTTCAGAAAGTACTTCTTCAGCAGATAGCCTGTGACATATGTTACTGCATTCATGCCAATGATGTTACCTTCTAGGCAGGATTTGTAATCGGTGACATCAACTTCCATAGGAGCTGCAGCTGGTCCTTTTGTGACATCCCGTTCAGGTGGCTTTGACGCTTTCTGGAAGTTAGACCCAGCCAGTAGAATTGCATCTAGATCCTCTGTGCAGTTTCCACTTGAAAGGACTAGACAGTGATCATAGAAAAGTTTTCTGAAAGCCCTGGTGAATTGGAGTGGGGTAGGATTATCGGAATTGCCTCCCTGCTGGCGGATTGAGCCAAAGAAGTTTTCAAGGGGGTCTTGATTGAGCCGCCTTGTCATAAGAAAATCAATGGAGTCTTCTTCATGAAGCATTTTCCATAGGGATAAAACTCCAGTTATGGTCAGGCACAAACCATTCGGACATTTTAAGTTGTTTGTGTGGTCTTGCTGTGTGGCACGATCAACGACTTTTATGGATTTTATTAATGATAACATGTCTGAAAGAAACTCATGGTGAACAGACTTGTCAGAGATTGGTCTTCGATGTTGTTTTGAACTGTTTAATGTTGAGCTGTTCAGACAGTCAAATATTTTGTCAAAATTGGCAACAAGTTCAGCAGTGCTTGCACCAGTTGAAGGTTGGGCACCAAGACTAACATAGGTGAAAATAGTAGCGGAGACAGAATGGCTGAGAATTTGGGTAGCATACTTTCATTTTCGTAAATCCAGTTAAATGTATATGTTTGTCTGTCAGTTTTGGGCAGCATCGAATTGCTAGTGACTTGTCCCTTTCATACATTGTTAATATGTCATTCCATTGGGCGATTTGGTGGCCATAATGAAAGTCGTAATTAATCAAGTTGTTCCTGACAGCCTTTATTAGGTGCGGGGGGGTCGAACAAATAGAAAATCTTTCTGCCATTGTACATAAACCATGGTGCTGTTGGTGTGATGTTCATTTCCCTTAGACGTTTCTGAAAATTAGAACCAAGGTCAGATATGATAGCATGTACTTTGAGACCAATCGATGTAATTTGGCCAATTATCTCAAACAATTTTGTTTTTAGGATGCTGCTTGGACAAGACTCGTGGACTAAATAGTATCCAAGGGGCTGTTTCCAATTGGATGTTATACCACGGGCCATGAATACGACAGCAGCTGTTGCCAGGCGATTGGTTCGATGGCCGTTTCCAAAATCTTCGACACCAACAACCTCATTTCTTCTGGAGTCATACATGAGTGATGTTTTCAGGGATATTTCATCCATGGAAATTGTGCATAGCTTGCCAGCATCACTCATGCATTTTACCTTGCTTTCAATAGCATCCAATGCTTTTTGTGATATCCCTGGAGATATTGGTAACCCAGATACCCATCTCAGAAGACTGCTTTTTGAAGGTAGGTTAAAAAATTTTGAAACTAGTCTATATGCCTTACCACTCACATGGTAGAGTGATATGGCAAAAGATTTCATTTCTGGTGTGTATCGTTTCCCCCCGTTTTTTCTGGTGTGTAGGTGCATTTGGACTTCAATGAATTTGACAATTCTTTCTGGAAGCACAGTTTGTAATACCTCCAAAGCTGCTTTCCTGCTTATGTCTCTCTTCTTTTTCTTGTTTAAGGCTTGTCTCAGACGTTGAACCCTTTTTCGTTGTCTTGCCAACAAAGTGCGATATTTCTTTGTGGGTGATGTTGTTTTGGTTTTCGTCTGAGTATTGATGTTATTATGCCTTTGTGGAGCAGGAGAATGCATGGTATCTAGTATACATAAGTGAGAATTGGTGTGTTTGTCCATGGTGAACCGTTGTAGTCAGAGTAAAATAAATAATTAGCATACCTTCATCAACCCTAGATGTTGTTGCAGATGTATGGGCATTGTCGGTGCAATGAATATGTACATCTAGTGGGTGAGGAGGATCTACAAAATCAAGTTTGTTTATGATTATCTGTGGTAGTGTGGTTTTTAATATTGTTAATTATGTATAGGTCTTTGGTTCCGATTGGTAAAGGGAGCAGGTACAAAATGTACTAATTGAACTGTACCTGTGTCAAAATCATATGCCACATTTTCCAAATGCACCTCTTGTCTGCTGGGCATCAATGAAGGGAAATTAGGACCTGGATTAAATGCATTTTAAGAGTTAATAAGTTATCTAGTTCATTTGTCCAAACATGTATAACTGTTGCTTACCTTTGTCAACACTAGATGATTTTGCTGACACAGTGTTGTTGCAGTCTAATGGGCGGGGAGGATCTACAACATCAAAATAAATTTGTTTATTATCGTTTTCTAATCTACCGTACTGTATATGGTTAGTTGATTATCTCTCATTTTGTATACTCTACAAGTTTACCAGTTTAACTATACCTTTGTCAAAGTCATCATATGGTAAATTTTCCAAATACACCTTTTGCCTTCTGGGTTCCCAAATACAACCTGGTGTAAATAGATGTTTTATTAGTTTATTTTTTGGTGTTTTATTAGTGCATCAAGAGATGGCAAGGAAGACCTGATAAAACAATAAGTTAGTATGCATTAATTTATACTATAATTTACATATTAACCATGTAAGTGGCAAGGCACCCTACTTTAGTATTTTACTTTGTCTAATATATGCCAGACGATTTTACTTGTCAAGTGGAGAGTGCTGTCACTCAATTGGTTAAGATATATTACAGCTAACCATAATTACCTTCAATTTCTTCAGTGCTATCATAACTGAGTCCATTCGGCATAGGTGTTGATGCGTCAAGAGCTGGCAAGGTAAGATCTGATAAAATAATAGTTAGTATGCATTAATTTATAACTATATTTTACATATCAAAATATATTACAGCTAACCATTTACCTTCAATTTCTTCAGTGCTATCATAACTGAGTCCATTTGGCAGAGGTGTTGATGCATCAAGAGCTGGCAAGGAAAGATCTGATAAAATAATAGTTAGTATGCATTAATCTATAACTATGTTTTACATATTAAAATATATTACAGCTAACCATTTACCTTCAATTTCTTCAGTGCTATCATAACTGAGTCCATTCGGCAGAGGTGTTGATGGCATCAAGAGCTGGCAAGGAAAGATCTGATAAAATAATAGTTAGTATGCATTAAATATTTTATAACTATATTTTACATATTAATTAAAATATATTACAGCTAACCATTTACCTTCAATTTCTTCAGTGCTATCATAACTGAGTCCATTCGGCAGAGGTGTTGATGCATCAAGAGATGCAAGGAAAGAATGGACATTCATTTACAACTATAACTTACCAGGAATGAATCCACCATGATCTGTTAGGGGTTTGGGGGGGGGGGGTTATGCCAGCTGTGGTGCCGAGTTGTGTCCGTCATGTGTGCCGCCCGCCCATCAACTTGCTTTACTACTGCAAAGTCTTGCTTGATTACTGTATTTGAATTGTAATTGTTGTTTACAGTTCGCTTTAATAATACCATCATGTTATATTACTCAAATTACTATACTTATTTTGCCTCTAATAATTTTTTTGCTTTATCATTAAAAATAGCACCCTCCTCCCCCGTGCCCCCTCTTCTCTGGTCAGGGCTAGGGTGGTGCCCTGATATATTGAGGCTAAATATTTACCTTCTGCAATTTCTGCAAAGCTGCCACTTCTAACATGATTGTGTGCATTTTTATTTCGACCCATTTTTTTGACCTTTGTAAATCAATAGACAATATACAATGTCACTAGACGGGCTTTTATTTTTAGCTGACTCTACAGTAAGGATAATACGCAAATTGATATTTTTAAAAGGTAAGAGAAAATGAACTTTAACTACGACTGACCTGTTTACATTATTCGGGAAGCGAAAAAACGAGAGTTCTTTGTTGTCAATCTTATTGCTATTGCAATTTAAGGCTGAGCAATACGTTGTCCCGCGTTTTCCCTTGCTTTTTAACAAATTTTCCTCCATTTGGGGTATCTTTTAACAAATTTGCTCTAAATTTTGGCTAAATTTTTGCCCAAGCAAAAAGGTAAATAAAAGCTGATGTGGCAAAACTGACGCCATCAAAAATACATTTGTCAGGTTTGCATTGATTGTATCTTTTGTGAATCAAGATAATTTTTTTGAAAAGAAATAACTATAAGGTACAAAATACCAAAATTGTTTTCACATACTTTTATGATAATAATACATTTCATAATGATAATAAATTGTAATACATTTCATAATGTTTTCTAAAACTACAGTAATTAAATTTAGAATGTTTACTCTGTAAGGCCAATTACCAAGTAATTTGTAGAGACAACTTGCATGTTAGACTAATTTTTGATCTGGGCAAAAAAAAGTATATTCCCGTGAAGAACGTATTAAAATTAGTAAAATTTGGTTGTGAAATGTTGTAAAGTTTGGAAAATATAATCTTCAAATTTTGGTTATGTTTGTATTATGTGCGGAAATTGTTACCATTTTTGAGCCGAAAATGATAACAATTGCCACACGTAAGGAAACGGTCATTAATAGTGGGTTGGAGGGGGAGAAAAGGGGAGGTGGCTTCATTTTTTGCCTGAATTAGGGGCGGCCTCAAAATGAAAAATATGTGATAATGGGCGATCCCAATTTTTAAATAATTTCCTACTCATTTTGAAAATATTTAAACCTTTTATAATTCCTATAATCGTAGTTTCCATAATTTATTACGCGTATGCAGTTCACTATAGGAGTCAGAGTAAATAACAACCATTTTGAATATTGGTCCCATTACTTATTTTACACCAAAAATGTAACAAACTAAATGTTGGAGGTCCTAAGTTTTATAGATGAAGGCGGGGAAATCCTGAAAATAAAGGTCTTGCAATTGGGGGCGGCTCTAAAAACTGTTCAATATTTGGTATTTATCACTCACTGCCTCCCCCCTCCTATTATTAATGACCAGTCCCAAATGCAAACATGTCCAAAATTTGCAAGACTATTTTCCAAGCTTTACAACATTTCACAACTAAAATTTGCAATTTTGTTCTTTTTAGCTGTGGTGTTTGATTCCTTCTCTTTACTTATATTAAAAGGTAGTCTAACATGCAAGTTGTCCAATGGAGTTCATTTAAGAAATATATTTGCTATAGTTCAATCTGACAGCCTACAGGATTTGATTTCCTATATATGGTACAAGCAAGAGGATCCTTAATTTAATTATAGATTTAAAACACCATCCTTTTTATTTGGTTATTTTCGCAGAGTCTGGCTGATATTATGCCTCAGGACTAGTTGGGTCAATACAACTTTTTGTAAGCAAATTACTCTAACTCTACTTAAGGCATATTCCACCCTTCTTTGTTCTGTTTCAATACTTTGACTAATTAGGGCTATGGTGATTTTACTTCTCAAAGAGAGCAGAGTTGACTGGTCTTACTGTACCATTACAAGATGCAAAGTGTCCTGGTGAACTATTATACATTGTTAGTTTATCTATAAACACACAAATCTTTAAGTTTGTTTTATGCCAGATTATTTTACTTAAAGGAGACTTGCTGTTTGCTTCCTTTAACCCTTTGACAACAACATATGAAGTTTTAATTTATAAAAATAAGTTATTGCATTCTTCACTGTTGTTTCCAGTAAATGCTAGTTGTAATGTCTGCTTCTTCAACTAAAAAATAGAATAAACTTTACTGAGAACGAACAACAAAAATTTATGTTAATAGGCCTATATAAATTTATATGGACTTTGTACAGTAATGTTACAGCGATCATAACTGGGACCATTATTATTATGTCGAGACTTGTGATTATCCCGATGAAAATGAACAAAACTATTTGCCGGGATATATTTCAGTGCCATTTGTACTTAATGGGTTATAATACCCTGACAATCAAAATACACATTTTAAATCAGATCAGTCAACACACATAACTCTCAACGACTGAAGACATTTTGGTCCAGACTTGTTCTTCGCTAGCTTTCTCTCATTTAAAAAAGTGGATTATCGGCTCTTACCTGAACATTATACGACACGAAATATACTGGAATGTCAATTCTGAACAACTTCTGAGCATTTCTCCCACAGAAACGACACAATGCAGTACAGAACATCGGGGAGAACAACTTTTTTATCTCTTTGATTTTGTCAACATTATAGGTTCTTTTCGAAGGCCTTCGAACTTCACTCCTTCGAGTATAATTTTCCCTTTTCGCAGCGTTCAGGTAGTGTTTGTAGCCCCATTTGTTGTTAAAAATGTCCAGTCTAACCCATTTTCTTGAAATTAAAACGAAACCGCAAATCACCCGGATAGTTTCGTTAAAATAGCTGTTTTTATGACAAAAATTCGGATTTCCCTATCTATTTCCTTATAAAAAAATTTCACGGTACTGGCTGGGAAGTTACGCATGCGCAGTAAGGCCATAGATTGTAAAAGAACTGGATAGGAAACTTCGTGACGTCACAGTTTAAACCTAGTTGCAATCTGTGACGTCACATGAATTGTACGAAATAATTAAATTCGCGCGCAGTTTAAACAAGTTTTGACTAGCTCAAATTCTCAATCGCCAACTACAGTATTTTTAAACGCAAAAAAAGGCATGGATGTACAAGACGTTTTTGAGGAATGGGATGACAGTGAGGTGATGGATATGGAAGAAATTGAAAGTGTAATGAACGATGGGGAAGAGAGAAGCGAGAGCAGTGAAGGAGAAAGTGCGGACTCGGCAGACGAAGATGACGACGAAGGCAAGCTGCGTTGTAAAAAATGCAAAAAACAATACCGGTCTAAATCGTGGTTTTTAAAACACGAGAGTAAGTGTGATGGGTCAACGAAAGCAAAAACCTGTGCAAATAATAAAAAGATGTCCCAGCATCAAATCAAAACAAGGGAAGTTTTGAGTGGTCTCGGGGTGAACGATTATTTTATCAACAATGGTTTGCCAGCGATTTTGAAACTCCTCGAAGAAATTTGTGAAACCCCCGCCGATATAGTTTCCATAAAAGGTGCGCGGTATGCAAAGTTAAAACTGCAGGCAGAGGAACTGAAGGAACATTTACAAAATAAACGAAAGGCCACGTCCACCGTCGTCGTCGAGATTTTTCTTAAAGAGGTCACACAAAAGCTGTGGAAAATCGTCTTTGCCTTCGACCACCTCACACAAACACAAACTTCGACTAGGCAGAGATATATTGCACAACGCCTGACGGAATTCAAAATCTCGCAGCCTTTATTTGCTCGTTGGACGGAAGTTACTAAAGCCTGTGGCATTACCGATGAAAAGCTTTTTCTACAGAAGATAATTTCAGCGGTCTATGAGAATATAAATGAGTTCCGGTCTACTTCCGTCAAGAAGGCCTTGGATATCGCAGACAAGTACAATGGCGAATTGGTAAACAAGACCGTTCTGACAGCTTCTGATAAATCAGTTGTCGCCTATGTTGCTGGCTATGTCTGCAGAAAAACTAAAGACAAGCTACAACGTTATTGCAAATCAAATGAAAGTTCAGCGACGAGAAAAGTGCAGGAAAACTGTGCAAGGTTAGCGAGTATTGCTAAAACGTTTAGCAAAAATTTACCTGGTGTCGAACAGCAAACTCCATGTCTGTCCTACCCTAACCTTATCACGCTCACTCTAAACAGAGGCGGACTTACGACGGTGGATCCGTCCACTTTTGATTTTTTTCTTGCCTTGAAACTTCCATTCGACCTTATCTCAATATAGCTAACTTTAGGAGCAGTACAAGGAAATCGGACAGTGAATTGCTCGAGCAATTGATTGAAAATACTCCAGCATTGCTTAAAATTTGGCCCTATTCTTCACAACTTAGTTCTGAAGACAGTATGTTACTTGTTAGTTATGCATGGAATTATATTACCGTGTAAGGAAATGGGCATATCTTAAAGTTTACAAGGAACATAATAAATTTAAGGTAACGCTATCCAATGTTAGGCAAAATTCTGTTCAGTTACATGGAAAGGATAGCATCAGAAAGGCTTTAATGTGCAGCAGTGACAAGTAGATTAATTAATATAAAAAATTTATGAGTCAAGTGTGGGTATCCGTATGTGACTGACATGACCTTGCTGTTTAATTAATGACTTTAATCTCTCATGGCCCTGCTGCATTATATTTGCCATTGACACTTTGAGAGTAGTGTACAGTCAGTTTTTATTTGTTCAGTACTTATATAAGTGATCATGATGATTATAATCATAGATTGTATAGCTGTGTTTATACTACAAGCCTAAGCCTGGCCTAGGCCAACCTTTGGATTAGATTTTTGTAGTGTTTGGATTAGATTTTTGTACTTCGGCCTGGCCTAGGCCAGGAAATCTGGAACACCTGTTCTGATGGGCTCAGATTTCCTGTCCTATGCCAGGCTGAAGTGCATTTACACTACAAAAATCTAGTCCAAAGCTAAGGCCAGGCTTAGGCTTGTAGTGTAAACACGGCTTTAGATACAATTTATTTTCCCAGTATAATAAATACCATCAGGAATAATGAACACAATGGCCATCTTGACGATTCTTTATTTTATGATAATAAATAAAATGTTACACAGTAACAGTTGCATACAGTATGTACAATTTAAGATAAAATTACATGTGATTTCAAATTCCCACATTTTATTTGTAATTATGAAACTGTATTGTTAATTTAATTAATAAAGATTTAAAAACATCTTGTTTTTTATAATACCTCTCAATCTATACAATAGGCATATAACTGGCTTGTAAGAATAGCTGCCCAAAACAAATGTGTTTTAGGCCATGGTTAAACCTAGCTGAACCTAATGCAAATGAACTGAAACAAAGAATTTAGCTCATTAACATTAGGTTCGGCACATGAAAACTTCAACGTTTGACCCTGGCCTTACAGTATGTACATTATAGTTTCTCGTGCAAATATATGGCATGCAAAGAAATACTTTTATAGACGTTGTACTATTGTCTGAATCTAGTATAGACTGAAATATAAAATATGTATTTTTGAGCAGTCATTATTGAATCTACATATGATGAAATTCTTTAAATGGAAAATCAAAATCATATTGCCATAATTAACTGTATTTAAATTATCTGCTCTCTCTTAAATTGTCTTTCTCATGTTTGGGATTTCCCACCCTTCCCTATTTTAAGGTCATTTGTGGTAAAGAATTCCATGACAGTGAAAAAAGTCAAGGAAGGGTAAAAAATTTTGAACAAAATATATGTGTCATCCCAGAAAAGATCCATGCTTCCAGAATAAATTTGGACTATAAAGCAGAAAGTTTGAAAAAGGGGGCATGCAGATATTTTCTGGAATGGCCACATGGTAATATTGTCACGTTTCACACATATTTAACGTTGATCTTCAAAACCCTATCAGTAATCACCTACCCTAGCAATTTAGTGTGAAACATGAAGATATACCCATTACATCTCCCATGTGAGAAGGGCAATTTAAGTATTACATTATATTTCATTTAAACTCGTCCAATCTTATTACTCTTTACCAATTGCAAATCAGGATCCAGAGCATCAAGAGAACCTGCATTCCTTTTTAACTGCCTAACAACCTTGATAGCATGGGTCTGGCTAAAAGATGCACAAGCATAACTTTGCTGAAATTCATTACAGCTAAAAGCACCATATGCACCCCTCTGTTGGCGCAACTTACCAAAGAACTTCTCAATAGGATCTTGATTAAATTTTATCGCAACAACATAATCAACACCTGGAATCTGAAGAGCAAAATGAACAACTTCTACAAAAGAGTTAACACAAATTTGTAAACCTTCCCAAGTCTGATCACTAATAAAGTATTTTTTACGCTCTTTTTCTGAAACATCTGTCTGGCTCATTGCCCACTTCTTCCAATCCTCAAAGTATTTTATAAACTCACTTTTAAGCCAAACAAGCCTCTGGTCATCAGGTGCACGATAAACACTTCTAAACTGAAACTTAGTATATACCTTGTTAGCATTTAGACAATCAAAAAAATCATTCATGTGCTTCACAAACTTAGCCGTTTCTTCTGTTCCAGCTTTACCTTGAACAGTCATTGCACATGCAACCCTGTTACAAAATACCTGTGCAGCTAAATACACTCTCATCCTTAAGTATGGATTCAAAAAAAGATGGTTAGTATTCAATTTATGAAGTATGCGCAAACCCGAAGCATTAGACTCATTCACATCATTTTCAAAAGCATCGATAAGCTGCAGCCAAGTTATCCACATACCGTTATTTCTCAATTTTCTAGTTTTATTTCTCCAAAAGCTGTTTTCCCAATTGTTACGGACAGTCTTCAACAGATGCACTGGGTCACAAATAAAGAAAATATATCTATTTTCTTCAGCATAAAGATTAGTGTTTTATAGATTGGTGCACCTTTTGGGTCACCTGGTGGACAATGGTATTTATAAAATGTGCGATGAGGAGAAGCACCGTCACATGTTGTACTAAGAACCTTAATACCTCTCTCTTCTAACTCTTGAACACACTTCCAAAAAAGATTAAATAATGCAAAAGACTTAATTGTGGTGGTGGGGAAGAAAGCAACAGGTATTTTCCAATCAGAGAAAAGACCAATAACCATAAAAACAATCATATGTGTTGCTTCATCTGGTGAATTTGATGAATTATCAGATGACAGAGAATTCTCTAAAAAATCAATGGAATTCTGAGTAGAACCCAGATCCACAAACCCGACAAGCTTACCTGAATCATCAAAGACAAGGTCCTGTCTCAAAGAAACTTCATCATGAATGATTCCTACCCATGCATCACTTTCCTTCAATGGATCACTTCTATCAAGAAAATCTTTTTTCACCAAATCTAAAAATGCAGAATCAAAACCTATGCCAGCTTTAAAACAATTGCTATAATCTCTAAGTGTTCTCTTATCAGGTAATATCAATAGACCACTGTCTTTCAGCATTTGGAGATGTGGCATGGAGCTGAAAACACCATCTGATTATTAGTGGATGCCATCTTCGTCCTCTGTTGTCATCACACTGTAAAGCATTCTCTTGTTGTTGGAGGAAGAGACTTTTAAAATCTTCAGGATCTTGGGTGTGGGATTTCTTGCATGCCCTCAAGTTGTTGAAGAGGCTTTCCATCACATCATTGTCTTCAGGTTGTAAAGTAATTGAATCCTACAGATTATACAGAAAGGAACCATACATAAGGGAAGCAAGATGATGATAGCCCCCTAAAAAATTGATACTGTATCAAACGTTAAGAATTATTATTATTATTAAAACTTATTTACAAACAATAACCCTTCAGCCTACGCTGCTTTTAAAGGGGTTGTTTACATAAAAGAAAGCACAAAATAAATATTTACAAAATAGTATAAGTATTTACAAAATAGTGTAATTGACTAGGAGTCTTTACAATTGGATATTTTATCAACGTAGGTGATTGTTGAGCGTAGTTTTAAAAGAATGTATCGTCAACTGTTCGTGAACGTCTAAGATTTCGTTAGGTAATGAGTTCCAGGCGGAAGCTCCTCGATATGAAAATGACTTTTTCATAAATGATCTATTAGGTTTATCGAGAGTTAGTTTCCACCCGTTGCTCCGCATGTGGTGACTTCTATTATCACAGTAGGAGAACATATTACTGATGCACTCCGGCGCTATACCTCGGATAGCCTTAAACGTAATTAGAAATTCTCTTTTTTTAAGAATGTTATCTATTGGATGCCAACCTAGACTCTGGAGGATTGTTTTTGATCTTGTTTCATAGTTTAATCCAGTAATTATACGAGCGGCTCGCTTTTGTAATTTATAAAGTTTTTCCAAATTTGTTTTGTTTCCATCGTTCCAAACTGTTGAACAGTATGTAAAGTAAGGAACTACCAGGAAATTGTAAATACGGAGTAAGTCGTTGTAAGGTACGTGTGGTTTTGCCTTTCTAAGCAGAGCTATTGCACTTGAAAGTTTTTTGCATTGCTCATTAATGTGTTCAGTCCACCTTAGTTTGTTATCAATTGTAATACCTAAGGTTTTTTTTTTGCTTAACTTGTTTAATAATGGATCCGTTTATATGTATACGAATATCAGTGCGAAATTGATTAAGTTTTCTTTTTGAGGCTATTAGCATAAATTCTGTTTTGTCTGTGTTCAATGTCAACCTATTTGCTTCTAACCAGTCGTTAACATTGGATAAGTCAGCGTTTAGTTTGTGCTCAATTTCGGCTGGGGTCCTTCCTGTGCATGATAGATTGGTGTCATCAGCAAACATGGATGCTTGTGTGTACTCAAGGCACATTGGTAAATCATTTATGTACAATGAGAATAGCAATGGTCCCAGATTGGAACCCTGTGGTACTCCACATTGAACTGTTTCTTGGCCTGACTTGTTATTATTAATGACACAAACTTGTTTTCTGTTGTTGAAGTAAGATGCTAGTAATTTTAGAGGAGTACCCTTTATACCATATTGGTATAGCTTTTGTAGGAGAATAGAATGATCAACCGTGTCAAACGCTTTTTTAAGATCCAAAAATAGCACTCCATTTGCCATTCCTTTATCCATGTTGAGTAGCCATTGATCTGTGCATTTTAATAGGGCAGTTTCTGTAGAATGATTTGGTCTAAAGCCAAATTGCTGTTTACAAATAATGTCGTTGTCATTGATATATGAACTTAATTGGTCGTATATAATCTTTTCAAGGATTTTGGCGACAGTAGGAATTACAGATATAGGCCGGTAGTTTCCGCATTCCGCCTTGTCACCTTCTTTATGAATAGGTATTATTTTAGCAAGTTTTAAATCATCTGGGAAAACGCCAGTGCCCAGTACAAGGTTAAAGATATGTAGTAAGGAGTCGTGAATGGCATCTCCTGCTAGTTTAATTAGTTTAATTGGTATTTTGTCTAGACCTGGGGCCTTGTTTAAGTTGGTTTTCCCAATTGTTTGAATTAATTCTGTCGTTGTTATTGTTCTTAAGTTAAATTCAGATCTACAAGGCTGAATAGGTTGTATAGGGTCTATGTCTGTAGGAGAAATAACGGAAGCAAGTTTGGGTCCAATTTCTACAAAGTAGTTATTAATTGTATTTGTTATGTTGATATCACC